ATTTTTCAAAAGTTTCCCCATGCGGTCCATGACCCCTTTGATGTATGGCAGAAATACTTTATTTGTGGGTGGCTGTTTTTCCTCTTCAGTTTGGTGTTGTTTTCTTGGTTTGATGATTGTTTTGATTTCATTCTTGGAATAGCCATTTGCCTGTAGGGGGATGTTAGACTGCACAGGGAAGCCATAAAAATCCACAGCCATAAATACTCAACTATTTAACAACAGAGCATGGATAGAGTGCCTACTCCAGTCTTCTGAAGATGCCGACCACAGAGACTGGCAAAACATCAGGAAGAACAACCTTCAGAACACGGCCAAAGAGTGTGAAAAACCCATAATAACCAAAGAGGGCCATTGTTTGAGGCAATCTTTCCTGTGGCAGCAATCCTTGGAGGCTGCTGGTAGGGGATTGTGATGGTGTGCAACTACTACTGTTCCAACCACCTCCAGCTTGGCCTTCATATTAGTTAGTCCTTCCAAGGCATCAGGGCACCTAGCCCCCCCCCCCCATCTGCTCTCCAGACTTGCAGTTATTATTGACAAGACAGGCTCTGCACAGGCACAGATACCCCATCAGTATGATCCACAGAGATTGTGAAGGGAAATCCCAACGACATATCACAAGCTACACACACACAAAAAAAACTTTTACATTCAAAATATTATTGCCATGTGGCTGCTTCTCAAGAAGCACACAGCTCTTTGGATGGGTGTAATGGTTTAACATTACTGAGAGGAGAAGAAGAAAGAATTCTTTGAAGATAGCTCTGCATATGTACCTTTACTGCTTTGTCTTCAAATACTGCTAGTTGTCCATCAGCAGTACCCACTAAAAAGAAATTTTTCTGTTTGCTGAAATGAAAAGTGGAAGTGTTCACATGTATTGCTGAAACAAGCTTATCACACCATACTCTGAATGCAGTGCATGATTTACTGATATAGAATTTGTTTATTTTATTTATTTGTTTTATTTATAGGTCTGTTTTCTCCCAATAAGGGTACCCAAGGCTGCTCACAATATTAAAAGAAATAGAATTAAAACATAATAGGCTAAACATTAAAAAACAATTAAACTATATGCTAATTAAAATACAAGTAAATAATTAAAAGCAAGTAAACATTAAAAAGAGTTAAATCAAACAGCTAGTCCCAATCAGAAGAGACTCACTGAATGAAATGGATTTGTTCAATCAACTTTTGTGTATGGCCCATGGATTCAATGGGTCTAAATCTAGTTTGGATTAATAAATGCATTTGGCCCATAGGCTTTTACTCCGTGCTAAAAGACCACTGCACAGTTGACACTTGTAGTGACCTGCAAAAATTCAAACAAGCAGTATGATGTAACTACATCCATAAAATAGATATCCAAGCTTCCCAAAAGCAGTCTTGCAATTAACCACACGCCCAGTGTCAACTTCCCTGAAACACTATATTATGTTTAATGTACACTCAGACTTAGCTGTACTTTTGCTTTCCAAAAAAGCTGCAGTAAAGACATGTGACGGAATCAGACATCTTCTGGAGTTGGTGCCTGTGCTTCTCGTCTTGTGCATGAAAGGCCAACAGAGAACCGGACTGCGTTCCTGCTACAACCCAGTTTTCCTTCTCTGCAGGAAGAGTCACCAAGGCCAAGCACAGTATTCTAGTGTCTGCAATGTCCTGATGGGTAAAACAAGAAGAGTACAATATTTGCCCACAGTTCGACAAAATCACACATATTAATTCTTCCGGCCCTTGATTGGCTTCTTCTGATATTGCTCAACAGCAATTTTTCAAAAGGTCACTACCAGAGATGGACACGAACTGGTCCAGCATGGTTGGTTTGCTGGCTGAACAGCTGTTCTGCAATTCGGCATCCCACTCCCTCCAGCGGGAACCCACTCGGCAAACCAGTGGACCAAACAGCAGTCTAGCAGCACTTTTTGACGCCTACCTGACATGTATGCCCATCTGTATTTAAGTCAACAAATGAAAGTTGTGCTCCTTCTGAATTCCCACCGCCTAGCCAGACTCCTGTCTTCTTGCAACATTGATTTGTGGCAACCATACACTCTGATACAGCGGCAGAGGGTACTGAAATATATCTCATCAGGCAGACAAGCTCTGCAGAATTCAAAATCTCATAAACCTGCAGAAAAACCCACATTAGTCACAACAGTTGGTCACAGCTCTTGCTCAGTTTCTTTATACCCAATATTCTTAACCGCTAGTCAAGGGATATGGGAACCTGTGGTGCTCTAGATGTTGTGGGACCGCAACATCTGTATCTTATTGCTGCTGCTTGTCCCAGCTATGGCTTCTGGGAGGTGCAAATCAACAACATCCCAAGAGTTATACATTCCCCATGCCTTAAACTATATACTAATTATATGGCACCAAAATACAGTATACAGTAAATATCACATAGCTGTGTTTTATTTAGTAAGGCTGAATAGCTTGTAATACTGTAATATAATAGTTACGATGCAGTTATTTACAATAGAATCATTTTTGTTCATTGTGCTGCTAATTCTTTTCTTCCAGATTTGTAAATCTGCATAATTTGAAGGGATATTGTCAAGAGTATTTTAAATAAATTTTTGAAACTGCATTTTAAAATTTCCAACTTACAGTGACCATTTTCAGTGCCTCCTTCTAGGGATGCTCTAGGACTGTGCAGCTTGCCCAAGGCTACACGGGATGGTACTTCTTCACAGAAGCATAGTAGAAAACCAACCTTGCAATCTCTGGTTCTGCAGTCAGATACTTAAACAACTGAGCTATCCAGCATTGTTAACAGTTGTAAGCTATTTTGAGTTGTTAGGGAACGGGGTAAAAATATTGTGAAAAAATAATTAACTAGCAGCTAATAGAACTTAATGAAATCTGCAAGTATATCTCCACCATGAGGCCATTATGTGGTCTTACACAAGTAATAAGATTATTACTTAAGCAGGGAGGCAAATGAGACAAACTTTTCTTTGGCAAAACCAGAGCTTAAAAATATTACTTTTTTTCTGTTATAGTCCCCAGAATCATCCAGATGGCATAGCCAGGGGACAAAATGCACAACATTATAGATGAGCAAAATAGTAACACATAATGACGGGACCCACAGTGTGCCTTAGGCTTCTTCATGGCTGGAAGGAGTCTGGAAGCTTTTGCTTCTATTTTTGATTAAGTGGGGCTTGTACTATTTGAACCCAACAAACTGTTTAATCTTGACAATAGTTTGTTGAAAGAAGCCTATCTGAAAGTTGATTTATTTGAGCAACTCAAAGTTATGCTTAACCACATTTTTCAGTGGGCTCAAGCTACATGGAATATACTTAAGGCTGAAACTGAAATGCCACCTATAAATTTAGTTCATCAATCATTTTATGACAAGAGACTACATCACCTTTGTAACATCTGTGACATCAAACACAATACACAGAAAACACCCGTTTAACCTACCTGAGCAGATGTAGGTCTTTCTTGAGGATTTTCTTTCAAACACTTCTTAATTAAATCTTCAACTTCTGGCCAGGGGGCACAATTATACTCTTTGACAGGATCTAAAATGTATATTTCTGAAGTTCAGTTGGACAAATCAAACTCTACAAACTCTACCCCCCCTTTCAATAATTTATTTTGTCACAGAGATTAAAAGGAATGTTCATGTATAATCAAAAGTGAGGTGTACTAAGGGTCACTTGCTCATCTGTGATTTGGTCCACAATGGCATCATACAAGTTTCACAGAGGCACGCTGCAAATTACAAGCAGTGCCTAGAACCACATCACCCGTTATGTCTTTTGTAAAACTCCTGAGGAAAAGTTAGCATTAGAAAGTAAAATGGCTGCACACAGTGTTCAAAAAGTAACTACTGTATGTTGGGGAGATGAAATGGCAATGGTAATAAGGCAGCAGGTTGCTAAGTAACCTTTCATCTTTGGAGGTACTTCCAGTGAACTGCAAAATAACCCGCTGTAATTTCAGAGGTTAGCTTGGGCTCTTTACACAGATACTGAGAATCAAATTCAATTACAGAGCTCAGCATATCTCACAATATTACTCATGATAGTTTTAAAAGCCAAAAAATCAAATTGAATTACAAATCTCAACATATCGGCCATGGCTCAAAACTACAGGAATTCCAGTCAGCAGATGGTATCTTGTTCTTTAGCAGGTTATATAACCTGGTTCTTTTTCTGAGCACAAACAAGTTGCTTACATCGAGTTTGCCTTGACTTTCTCCTTAAGGTCAGCTTCTACCATGTAGAAACTGTGGATACACAATGGAGCCCGTTTGTATGCCAGAGCCATTGTGTTCTGTTCTTCAAGATACACAATGGTGTCCCACATACTATCTTACATGACAAGTACATTAAACAAGAAAAAATAAAACTAGTCAACAAGGTGAACCATATCAATCAAAGCTATGGCAGGCATAGTTTACTCTGTAAATCTAATGGTAAACTCACAATCACAACTTCCTTGTGAGCTCAAAGCTGGTACAAATCAAGTAAAGCTATGAGGACAAAAGGAAGAAGAATGCAACCAGCGCTGGTCATACACCAGGCATGGGATTTTCGTTAGGCAATGAATAAAAAGTGCAATGAAATAGGCTCTTCCCCCCCCCCTTCATAGTCTTTTGTTGTGTTCCAAAAACAGCCTCTTAGAAACTAATGGTTCATTTCAACAAAAGAGGGAACAACGAAAATGCCATACCAATTTTGTTTCCCTTCTTTCATTTGAAGTAAATAAAGACACAGTGAGAGCTGGGTTTCACTTAGCATTCCAGTACTGAAAAACTATACAGGAAAGTATTTCTAATGTCAGTCAAACAAAACCCCCAAAAATTAAGAGTGAGGGAGGGGCATTCTAAACACCCTTTGCATTTATTTTTACAACCATGTGCATTTTTAGATTTCTGTGTTAGAAAGGAAAAGCTTCAGACTTGAACCACCTTGTGCAAGCAGTAACCACTGAATCCATGCACTAAACAGTATTAAAATGAGATATACCTGGCAATTTTCCATGGATAGCGAGTTCATCAAATTCATTAGGAAATTTCATGCCTTCTAATATCCTCCCGCCAGCTGTTAAAATGTCATACAAGAGCAAGCCAAATGAATAAACATCAGCTTGCTGGTTGTAAATAACATTTCCTCTTGCAACCTCTGGTGCTCTGAATCCTTCAAATATCAAAACAAAACAACACAAGTCATTAATTGTTACATTTCTTGCCAGGCAGATGCTGCACTCATTTTAATTTAAGAATCTTAAATAATGCTGAATGCCACAGGAGTTCAACAGAAATAAAATGGTGGCCCAGAAGAGCCATGTACTGTATGTCTAAAAGGCAAGTATAAACCTAACAGTACAGAGAAGTTCTGTAAAAATTACCACCCTGTGGCCCTGAGAAACATTTTTGAGTTTCAAACTACAGCTCCCAAAATCCCATAGCCAAGATGGCTCCTTCCGTTTTTTGCTCTCTTTCTGTCTCTCTTTTCAAACTCACATCTGCAGACACACTCGCACAACACACAAAAATATACACAGAAAAACAAGGAAGTCCTTGACATTTTGCATTTGTTGCGTGGCCTTCTATGTGGGTAGCAAAGCAGCTCACAAACACAAAGTGTAAATGGAAATGCTGGTAAGGCACACGTTCTAGTCCAGACTTCCCCAATGAGGTGCCCCCTTCCTATGTGTTGGATTACAAAATTCCATCTTCCTTAGACAGCACACTCCATGGCCAAACTAAATGGGGATGATGGCAACTGCGGTCCAAGAATCTTGAGGGCACTTGAATAGGGGAATCTGCTGTAGAATGCTTCACTGTGAGGCCAGACAAGAACAGTAAAATAATTTTAATTATTCCATACACAAAGCCCAATTAAACAGTAAAACTATTCCACTGTAATTAAAATAACTTTGTCTGAGTTACTGAGCTCATCAAAACAAATTGTATTACAGCATCTCTTACACTATACAGTGGTGCCTCGCACAACGATGTTAATTGGTTCCAAAAAATTCATCGTTGTGTGAATCATCGTTCTGCGAAACACCATTTCCCATCGGAATGCATTGAAAACTGGTTAATCCGTTCCAATTGGAACGGATTGTCGTCCTTAAGCGAAAATCCCCATAGGAAACATCGTCGTGTGAAACAATGTTTCCTCCATTCAAATGCATTGCAGCCTTTCCAATGCATTTTAATGGTTTAGCGAAGTCAATTTTTGCAAATTTAAGTGTGTCATAAAAGGGTCAAAAACGGTTTTAAATGCTTGGAATAGCTTCTGCACCTTCTAAAACGGGTGCAAACTTAATTTGGCTTTGATCTCACTTTTCGTTAATTTTTGCTGAATTTTTCCCCCACCAACTTTTGACAGCTGTCAAAATCTGACAGCTCCATTGTTTCCTATGGGGCACAAAAATATTCACCATAAATTAACGAAGACTCAGATCAAAGCCAGATCAGGTGTGCACCCGTATTAGAAGGTGCTTCAATGATCCCAAGCATTAAAAACTGTTAACAGCCACCTTTCCTGCTCTTTTTTGCAAACATCGTTCAGTGAAACAGGGGACCCAAAACGCAATCGTTGTGTGAAGCATGGTCCCAAAATCGTTGTGCGAAAATTCCCCATAGGAAACATCGTTGTGTGAGGCGGCAAATTTTTCAGAAAAAGCCATCGTTGTGTGAATTCATCGTTGTGTGAGGCATTCGTTGTGCAAGGCACCACTGTACAGTACCTCCATATCAATCCTGCTCCTATATATGAAATGAAGAGAAGACAGGACAAGATGAAACCAGGCAAAGGAACAATTATGAAGATGGCAGTACTCCACAATGCAGGTGTTACTCAATTTAAATGGAAAGCGTGAATTCTTTCATACCTGCTGTGCCCTCTGAAGTTTTTATCCCCATTCGGCAACAATACTGGGCAATGCCGTAGTCAGCAATCTTTGCGATCATTGCTGAATTGGGATACAATGTAAATAGAAGAACATTGTGAGGCTTTAAGTCACGATAGATTATCATTGCTGAATGAAGATACCTATTAGAAAAAAAGATATGCATTGGAAATGCTCATTGAAATATTACATAAAAATCCATTAAGGACACAAAATGAAAGTGTGGAGCATGTTGGCAAATAAACGTGCCACATAATTTGACTGAATTAACTGTGGTCAAGCAATACAAATGGGAAGAGAGAGGGTCCAAAGCAGCTTTACTAATATGAAGAATGCAAGATGCAACACTGATTTTGAGAATGGGCATGGAACAGTGCTATGTTTCATAGTTCTACTACTATACATTATGCAATTTAATACAGGCTACCATAAAATAAATAGAAGAATTTGAAACATAAATTTATCTCAAAATTGTAGGAATCAAGAGGATAAGCAATGAAGAATAAAGGAAATTAATAAAGATCAAAACATCACAGATGTTAAATGTAGAAAGCTACAATATTTCAGTCCTGTAGTGAGAAACAGAAAATATAGATTTTTTTACAACCAATCATTTAAGATAAAATGAGTATTTTAAAAGTGCAGGAAGAAGAATAACGTATTAGATGAAGAATGTGGGAAATGGCTTTGGATACAACACTACCGTATAAAGCTAACACACCTGAAGTCATAATAGCTACAATGATGGTCAGCCTGCAGTAGGACAAGATCAAGAAGAAGTAGAAGAAGAATTTAGCTGATATGATTAGGAATTGGTATATATGAAACAGTTTATTCAAAATTATTCTAATGGAAGGTACTTTGCTTAATTTAACATCCTATTAGCACAGTTTTATATATGTCTACTCAGCCGTAAATCCTCCTGAAGGGAGCTAGCTTCCAGGTGCAAGCCTGTAAATACCACTCAGCATGAAATGGCATGGATCACAATAAGAAATTTAAGCAATAAGCCTCTATAACACTCAGCAGGATTTGATAGCACCAAACATCCTGTGGGTTTTCCATATTTATCTGTCTATTCATAGAATCTGAGTACTTGAACACATGCCCAGATTCAATATGTGAAAGCCTATATATAGTAAAGTGATCCATAAATGAAACTCAACAGATATCTTATTAAAAGTGAACATTGATTGAGGGCAAATGGAGGAACAGATCTGAAATATATTTTGAAAGGGAAAGGCTTTTAATGAACTTGTACTCCAAAGGTCATTTTAGATTGATATACCTTAAGCCATCTGCTACATGTAGAGCTATTCTGTGCTGGAGTGTTCTGGTCAGACTTGCATTGTCCTGTTGCAGTAATCGATCCAGAGACCCCTTTGGGGCCAACTCCATGACAAGCATCCGGGGACGCACTGCTGCAGCCAGCAAGAACACTAAGCTAGGGTGATGGAGATGACAAAGCACCGCAAGTTCCTGGAGACAGTAAAATAAAAGTGAAAGGACAGAAATGTTAACACTGGCGTTTGTTGTGGTTCTGTTTGTTTTGCATTAGCACCTTTGCGCTTAGGGGATGTTTGCAGGAAATCAAAATAGATTGAGGGAAATGTTCAATCTCGCATACACAAGGTGACAAATAAATGGTTTAAGAGGAGCTTGCAGATCTTTGCTTCCCCCATTATACTGATATTTATGTATATTTGATATCGTTTAACTAAATTACTAGTGCCTTACTTCTCTTTTGCATGGCAATTTGAAGGAGGCTAGTAATAAGCATATTAGAAGTAAATACAAAAACATACACATTGAATGAAACAACTCTCCAAAATCAGAACAGCAAAACTAATCACAAAGTATATCTATAACAAGGCCATATCCATAGCTATCAAGCAGCACAACCTCCAATGGCCTTCTAAAAGAGCCATGTCTTTGCTATGCTTTGTGAAGAGCACTTTGCAGTACTCCAGTCTAGAAACTCCTGGCAGGCAGGCAGGCACGAAAGAAAGAATGAAAGAACAAAAAAAGAACAAAAGAAAGAACGAAAGAATGAAAGAAAGAAAGAAAAAGAAAAATTCTGTTTTGGAAACCATCCTAAATATGTTCTATAAAGAAGCATACTTCTGTTTCTTACTTGTCTTAGAAGCCTAAGAGATGTGTGCTTATTAAAAATCTTTACAGCTACTTCTTCTCCACTGTAAGAAGCACGATACACAGATCCAAATCCACCATCACCTTTCCCGAAAGAAAACAGAACACAATATCAGAATCACACACGGTCATTCTTGAGTGTGGTATCATGTTTTTCAAACATACCAAGCATTACATTCATGTGTTTTAAATTACAGGCATTCTTCTGTATAGCTATGGCAGTAGACAATGTACAGAACAAATAATTATTTGATTTAGCTGGTTGGATAGCTCAGTGAGTTAGGTATCTGGCCGTGGAACCAGAGGTTGGGACTTCAATTCCCCAATGTGCATCACAGAATAGCCAATCTATGTGACCTTGGGCAAGCACACATTATTACTATGACAATTTAGCTGAATGTTATAATCTTCTCAGAATAATAAGTGCACTTGTTGGAATATTAGCCAGGGTGATTGGTGCAGATAGCCCTCATTCTCATTTCTATTTCTCTGTCTATCTGCCACTTTTATTTAAACAATGGTATGGAGGAACCACACACGCACACACGGCTAAGGGTTGGCATAGACAACTGCACTAAAATAACCCAATGTGCCATGCTGCTGTCAACTACAATTCTGGAATGCTGGCAAAGATGTCAGGTAACTCATCTAGTTGCTCATAAACGTAAGCTAAAACAAAGCAGGGCCTCACATATCCATGTTAAACAGAGCTAAAGAGGAAAGAAACCACTAAGTTAGTTGTCTGTTTTTCGGGCTGTTTGGCTGTGTTCCAAAAGTTTTTCTTCCCAACGTTTCGCCAGTCTCTGTGGCCAGCATCTTCAGAGGACAGGAGTTAGAACTCTGTATTCTGGTGTAGTGTGTGAGATAGTTGAGTATTAACCTACAACAACCATCAGATCTCGGCCATGAAAGCCTTCGATAATACAAATCACTAAGTCTTAAAGCACTGTAATCTTAATTCCATCCTTAAACAATTATATATTACTTAGCAGAAAGAAATTTTTCTTTCAATATTCTAAAAATACAATTTACTTCGAAATAATGCAACAGGGATTTTGATGAAGAAATAATTAAAATCAAAGATGATCATATACAAAACGCTGAAGTGGTTTCTTTTCTAGTGGAACTATTAATAAGTTGCTGATTGTGTTGTATTCCTTGCTTACATTAAATAAATATTAAGCACTTGGCCATAAAAGCTTGTGACATGATAGATTTGCTATTTTTAAGGTGATACAAGACATTTGGTAATTCTTAGTTACAGGAAGCAGAGATGTAAAATACTAGATACCTAGGAGGAATTCTGGAGTTTGTTCAAATTCTAATTCATCATTGTTCAACATGATATTTCTAGGTAAATCAGCCAGGATCAAATCTGGAGCAATCTGAGCTATTGGAATTGTAGATTTTGGCTGATCTGGATTAATCAAGAGGTCACCTACATAGATAAAAAGAAATTACACATATACAGGTGCGGATAGTGAAAACAGTTTGTCTACTCAGCCATATCACTTAAACTATGCTTAAAACGTGTAGTTTAGAACAATAATGCTTTGTATTTCCCCAAGTATAAGTGGCAACAATTGTTTTTTAAGCACAGAAGATAGATATCAATCTATTGTCAAATGTCATATGGGCAAAAGTTTTCTCCTGAGTAAGAGAGCAACCAAAACAGTACATTTCAAAACATGCTTTTTTTTCCAAAGTGCAAAATCTTGGCTTAACTGATTATATATATTTTCAATCCATGTACTACCGAGGGAACTGGAAGCTTCTTTTCCAAGGCATGGAATTAGATACCACTCGTATGACAATCCAATGGTGATTAGAGCTGCTGTATATACTGTATTTGCAACTGCAGCAACAGGAAATGCCTGGAGTTTATCACCTAGGCTGATGCTGTTTGTGGGGGGCAGCTGTATTGCTGTGTGATATATGAAGGGTTTTCTAGAATGTATGTACAAGGAGAAAAGGGACTTCTCTTTTTTTGCTAACCATCTCTGGATTCATTTACAAATAAATACTGCATAGCAAGACAGCAATAGAATGCTATGAATAGTCTAATATAGAGATTGATTCATAGTTATTATAATTAATCTGTTTTAACATTAAGAAGTTGATAATTATTGTAATTATCAACTGCCCAGAGACCTCTGGGTAGAGTGGGTGGCATATAAATTAAATAAATAAATAAATAAATAATATGAAATACACAGTGGTCTTCCTATCACAATTTTTTTCCCAGGATAGCTTCAATGAAGCACTATACATACTTTCTTCTGCTTTCTTAAGTAGATCATCAAGTAATATTTTCTTATGCTCTTCACCATCTTCAAAACTGTACAATGCCCATTTTTTCAGGAGTGTTTCTCCTTCTCCACATACATCCACTTCTAATAACCCAGGAAACCATTCTTCCATAAGAGAATCAATATGATCAACAACTTGCCCCAAAATGATACAACCTGAAGTGAGACAAGAAGACGGTAGTAAAGCTGTAGTGTGCTACCTCTACAGTTTCAAGTGGGATGCAGATTTTAAATGAAAACTAAACCAAACCAAACCAAACCACATCACACCACAGACAGGGTATACTGCAAGTTTAACCTTTTCTGCAAGAAGGCACTGTAATTTTTAGGAAACTGTTTGGATTGTTTTCAAAATCTGCTGATTCCACCAAGCAGTAAGCTTCCGGTGACCAGTTCAAATATATGCCTTGCCTCCAATACATCCTGTTAGGACGAAGAACTCGTTCTAAAGAGAAAGAAGGGACGAGAGGAAAAAGATTGTTTTTGTAAATCCATTTTCGTGCAATGAAGCTACACTTGTTTTGCTTTTGTTTTTTAAAATGCATTGCCCTCTCACCTATGTGTTGTCATATAGAGTAAGAATATATACATCAGTCTTGGATCACATGGAACCACCCCTTCCTACTTCTGCAATCCATGATGGCTTACAGCCACCTCAGCCATGTTAGGTGACAATATCTCACCATCAATGACAATAAAATTCAACTGCCAGTCCAGAACGCACACTGAAACTCTAAGTCTAGTTAAACAAAAAAGGTAAAAGTAAAAGTTCCCCTTGACATTTAGTCAAGTTGTGTCCGACTCTAGGACACGGTGCTTATTCCCGTCTCCAAGCCGTAGAACCAGCATTTGTCCGAAGACATTTTCTGTGGTCACATGGCCAGCGCAACTAGACACGGAACGCTGTTACCTTCCCACCAAGGTGAGACCTATTTATCTACTCGTATTTTGACATGCTTTCGAACTGCTAGGTTGGCAGGAGCTGGGACAAACGATGGGGGCTCACTCCGTCGCGTGGATTTGATCTTACCACTGCTGGTCTTCTGACCTTGCAGCACAGAGGCTTCTGCAGTTTAACCCGCAGCGCCACCATGTCCATGTGACAAATCTTGGAGAATTTACTGCAACAACAAAACCCAGTAGCAGAAACCACATGCCACAGGCACTTGCTGATTAGTCAGCCGCTGCTTTCCCTGAAAGCTACTGAACTAAAGTTTTGTTTGCCATAGGAAGCTGAGCAACGATACAGTCAGGTGGGGGGTGGACATACCTCTTCCTGAAAGCATATAAGGAGATACTTCAAGCAACCTGTTGATTAGCCTGGACCAGAATCCCATGGGAAAATATGGCATCTCATACAGCCTAATGATAATTTCTGAGTTTTCACAGTGGGGCAGTTCTATGACAGGTCGGTGATCTGACAAGCTGGAAGAAAAAAAAGTGTTTTTCCCCTTAAATCGGCATACAGAAGGAATCAGCAGCAGCCATGACATACACAGTGTATTGTCCTTGAATGTAATCCACAGTGAGGGACTAGAGCCATAGTTCCCCACCTTGGGTAACGCAGGAGTTCTCGGACTGCAATTCCCAGAAGCCTTCACCACCAGCTGCCCTGGCTGGAGTTTCTGGGAGTTGCAGTCCAAAACACTTGGGTTCCTCAGGGTGGGGACCACTGTACTAGAGGACAATTATTTTACACATATGAAAACAAGGCAGCTATAATTCATATTGCAGTCTACTGACACAGCTGTGCTTTCAGATCTTTGTTTACCTGCTGGGAACAAGGAGTTGATCTTCTCCTAAGGGCAGCGCAATCTGAAACTTCTCCAAAAGCCTGAAATACTGTGACATGTACATCTTAGGAAATTTGCTTTTCTTGAGCAGGAATTTTTCTACATCAGATCGCTTTATGATTCCCTTTGGATACTTAGGAAAGCCTTCCACCTTCACTGTCAGGATCTACGGAAAAGAGACCGAACTTACACCAAATTTTTGTAGCATTAGTCTTATGATGAAGTCACACGTAACAAATATCTAATTCAACAACAGGAGTATTGCCATCGTTTGGCTGCACACCAAACAGAATGAAGACATAACAGCCAGAAAGGACATCTGGGTAAAGCTCCAGACCCATGCGGTGTGCCTCAACTCAACAGCATAGCCATTTTAAATGGACAGGGCAGGGGCATCACAATTAAGATGGACATGATGGTAAGTTCAGCTATACAGTAGAAGCTTGGAAACCTGCTCAGTTCTGTTGCTGGAACACCGCTGGTGCAGCCAGGCCACTGCTGCTTCTGTCAGCAAAAGTCTGGCAGCTTGACTTCAGTGTGGAATGCCAACTTTCAGATGGCACACCCCAACCTGCTCACACCACCATCTTAATTATGTTGATCTTGCTTCCGATAAATGCAAAACATGTAAGGGGGTAAACGAAGATGGATCACAGGCAGCAATAAATACTGGCATACTGTGTGGGTCTAGAATTCCAACAGCTGTTTCTACAAATGGAGGGAGGAAAGAGGCCCATGGCCCTAAGTTTTTACAATGGTCTCCCCCAAATCAGGAGCTGGGCTTACAAATGAACACAAACATATGAAACTGAATATAAAATAGAGTTTGGCAATATACATGCAGACTCTCCATCTGCTATGCCTCCCATGTACTTTGTTCTGGTCAAAAGAAGATTTTTTTAAATAAATCTAGACATAGACTTCTAGTTACTTCTGGTTTCAACAAGATGGGATAGTGCAATATGCAATGGGTCAAGGAAGTGAAAAAGGACTCCCAGCTCCTTCAAAATTGCCCAGTCTTGCAACAGAAGTCCCTCTCAGGCACACAGAAAGGAACCATGGAGCTGTCACCATCCCTTCCCCCTTGTTGAATTAAAAGCTCTTGAAAAGGTTGGATCTATAGCTAGAAGACAGGAGGAAGACAAGGAAATACATTTAGCTACACAAGATAAACACATAAGAACAGGATGAGAGAACAAGGTGGAGCAGGAAGGGTCTAGGTTCTGGAAAAGATAAGCTTACCTGTGCCATGATTTTACAAAGCCATTTAGGATCAACAAAATATAAGTCTCTAAGCTGAAGTGCTGGATCTTGAAAATGTAGCAGAACCCCTGTTTGAAGAATATGTATCAACAGATATTCTATACATGAAGGCAACGTGCTTTTGTTGTTACATTTTAAAGGCTTACAATAAGGGAATGTGATGGCGCTGTGGGCTAAACCGCAAAAGCCTGTGCTGCACGGTCAGAAGACCAGCAGTCGTAAGATCGAATCCACGCACCAGAGTGAGCAGTTCGAAAGCATGTAAATGTGAGTAGATAAATAGGTACCACCTCGGTGGGAAGGTAAAACAGCATTCCCTAGTCACGCTGGCCATGTGACAACAGAAACTGGATCTTGAAAATGTAGCAGAACCCCTGTTTGAAGAATTAATATGTATCAACATATATTGTATACATGAAGGTAATGTGCTTTTGTTGTTACATTTTAAAGGCTTGCTATATGCTCAATAAAGAACAGGTTTTTTTCTGGTAAAACACTAACATCTAAGTTTTTAATCACCCAATCTCCTGAAAAGGACAAAAACTGATCCTACAGCTAGAAATACTCAACTATCGCACACACTACACCAGAACACAGAGTTGAAGAATTAATATGTATCAACATATATTGTATACATGAAGGTAATGTGCTTTTGTTGTTACATTTTAAAGGCTTACAATAAGGGAATGTGATGGCGCTGTGGGCTAAACCGCAAAAGCCTGTGCTGCACGGTCAGAAGACCAGCAGTCGTAAGATCGAATCCACGCACCAGAGTGAGCAGTTCGAAAGCATGTAAATGTGAGTAGATAAATAGGTACCACCTCGGTGGGAAGGTAAAACAGCATTCCCTAGTCACGCTGGCCATGTGACAACAGAAACTGTCTTCGGACAAGTGCTGGCTCTACGGCTTGAAAAACGGGATGAACACCGCCCCCTAGAGTCGGATATGACTGGACTAAAAATTTCAAGGGGAACCTTTACCTTTACATGCTCAATAAATAACAGTTTTTTTTCTGGTAAAACACTAACATCTAAGTTTTTAAAATTATATTTCATTTTAATTTTCAATTCTGGTTGCCACACCTCAAAAAAGACATAGTGGAACTGGAAAAGGTGCAGGAGAGTGACTAAAATGATTACTGGAAAGTAATGAGGAAGGCTACAGCATTTGGGACTCCATGTATGATCTAGGCTTCAAAGGAAGGTACCTCAAAATGGCAGAGGCAGGGGACGGGTATCAGAAAACAGGTATCTAGTTGTCTTGCGTGCTCCCAGAGGCATCTGGTGGGGTCACTGTGAAATACAGGAACCTGGACTAGATGGGCACTTGGCCTGATCCAGCACATTCTTATAACTTAGTACATCATTTTTTTTACATTATTTTACTCATTAGCTTCCCACATTGTGAAACATTTACTACTTTGAAATATCTTTTAAGAACAATAATTCAGCAATAGTTTGTTATTTTGGGGGAGAACGTCAATGTTTTATGTACTCAAACTTTAAATTTCAACATGTTCTAAGTATCTCAACGATTTTAAAATTGTGTTTGTTCTCCTAGAATGACGAGGCATACTGTTCTTGTTATGACTGCTAGTTTTAATTAGTTCTTGGTTTATTGTGCTGCAATTTTTAATCTTATCTTTGTGCCCTACAGTGTACTGACTTGTAGGCAGATTAAAAACAGCAGCAGCAACAACAAAAAATATCCATATCACTATCTAAACTTATTTTTCCAGTAAGTATATTATACTCAGGTCACAAATAGAAAAAAGATACATGGAACTATCTAGAAAAGCTGAGTACATTTAGGCCGTCACTTGCTTAATAGGATTTAGCTGTCATCTAGTTTTCCATGAAAGATAGATTGGAACAGCTGCATTCATGTTTGTGGAGGAAAGGATTTCAATGAATGGGTTCAGCCACTCAGGGAAGACAGGGGATGGATGGTTTGAGTCCTTCACTACAGAGAACTGCTCCATAGTCACTTTCTTCATGTGATGACCAACAAATGTGAAGAGCTCTCTCCTCTTCAGATACATTGTTCATCAGGTGAAGGGGCAAGTAAGCAGGTTGGCAAAGGAGGAACAAAATGCCCCCTCCTTCCCCTGAGTCCAACCAAGATACAGTGGTGCCCCGCTTGACGACGATAATGCGTTCCAGCAAAATCGCTGTTAAGCTAAATCGTCGTCAAGCGGGGAAAAAACCATTGAAATGCACTGAAAACCGGTCAATGCGTTCCAATGGGGGAAATACCTGATTGTACAGCGAAGATCCTCCATAGCGCAGCCATTTTCCGCTCCCTGTCTTGTGAAACGAGGCCAGCAAAACAGTGGGGAGCCATTTTGAGAGCCGTCAATCAGCTGTTTTTAAATCGTTAAGCGAAAAATCGGTTCCTGAAGCAGGGAACCGGTCGTCGTGAAGCAAAAAACCCCCATATAAACATTGTTTTGCGATCCCTATAGCAATCGCAAAATACTCATTGTCAAGTGATTTTGTCATCTAACGGGGTAATCGTCAAGCAGGGCACCACTGTACAAAGTGGACTGTCAGAGGAGGGAAGCTCCCATGATCCATTCCCAGTAATAGAAAGTGTCTGCTGGAGGGCAGACATAGTTTTCTAGTCTTCTGCCAATCCCCACTAGCTCAGTACATTTTTTTTCCAGGCTAGTAATTGATATGAACTTATTTCCAAACTGTACTTAATTATTTAAAATATTTTTATCCCAGCTTTCTTAAAAGGATTCCAAAGCGGCTTACAACAATTAGACAGGATTTAAAAGCCAAAAACAGTAAATACACAAATGTTTAAAAAGGATTAAATAAGTATTATATTTTGAATGGCCAATTAAAAAAATATACATTTAAAAATATCGGATCAGAAGAATCCATTCAAAAAATCCCTCAGGATGCCAGTCACTAAGGAAAAGCCTTCCCTTAAGAGAAAGGTCTTTTGCCTGCCTGTGGAAGGACAGCAAAGACGAGGCCAGGCCAGCTTCCCAAGGGAGGGAGTTCCAGAGTCTGGGAGCAGCAAAAGAGAAGGCCCTCTCCTGTGTTCCCACCAACTGCACCTGCGAAGGTGGTGGGACTGAGAGAAAGGCCTCCCCTGATGATCTTAACGGCTGGGCAGGCTCATAGAGGGAGATTCGATCTTTTCGATAGCTTGGACCCAAGCCATTTATGGCTTTGCAGGTTAAAACCAGCACTTTGAATTGTGCCCGGAAATGGACTGGCAGCCAGTGGAGCTATTGTAAAAGGGGAGTCATATGTTCCCTGTAATCAGCCCCAGTTTGCAGCAGCATTTTGGACCCTCTAAAGTTTCTGAACACTTTCCCATGGCAGTCCCACACAGAGCGCATTACAGTAATCCAGCCAAGATGTAACCAGGGCACATGTTACTGTGGCCAGATCAGACTTCTCAAGAAATGTGGGCAGCTGGTGCACTAGTTTTAACTGTGCAAATGTACTCCTGGGCATCCAGTTTCAGAGACGAACCCAGTAGTTGTGGACCTGTGTTTTCAAGGGGAACACAACCCCATCTAGTACAGGCTATCCCTATTCATTGATGTGGTTTCTGACTGACCAGGAGTACTTCTGTCTTGTCTGGATTAAGCTTCAGTTTATTTGCCCTCACCCAGTCCATTACTGTCACCAGACATCAATCTAGAACCAAGACAACTTCCTTGGATTTGGATGGAAAGGAGAGTTAGAGTTGGGTGTCATCTGTGTACTACAAGTGAAGCCCAAAACTCCAGGCAACCTCTTCCAGCAGCTTTATGTTGGTGTTGAATAGCATAGAAGACAGAACAGAATCCTGAGTTACACAACAGGACAAAGGCTGTGGTATAAAAAAGGTATCTCCCAGCACCACCCTCTGGGTTCTCCCCTCCAGGAAGGACTGAAGCCATTGTAAAACATTGCCTCCAAGTCCCACTCCAGAGAGATAACCCAGAAGGACACCATGGTATTGAAAGCCACTGAGACGTCCAGCAGAACCAAAAGGGACACACACACCCTGTCCAGCTCCTGGCACAGGTCATCCACCAAGGCACCCAAAGCAGTCTCTGTCCCATAATCTGGCTGCTCTGAAGCCAGACTGAAATGGATCTAGATAATCCATCTCATCCAGGGACCCTTAGAGAGATAACCCAGAAGGACACCATGGTATTGAAAGCCACTGAGACGTCCAGCAGAACCAAAAGGGACACACACACCCTGTCCAGCTCCTGGCACAGGTCATCCACCAAGGCACCCAAAGCAGTCTCTGTCCCATAATCTGGCTGCTCTGAAGCCAGACTGAAATGGATCTAGATAATCCATCTCATCCAGGGACCCTTGGAGCTGGGAAGCCACAATATGCTCCAGCACCTTGCCCAAAAATGGGACATTAGAGACTGCCCAGAAATTATTCAGTACTGTGGGGTCTAAGGAGGGTTTTTTTTCCAATAATGGTCTTATTACTACCTCCTTTAGCCATGCTGGGATGCTACCCTTATTCATCACCCCTCGCATCCACTCAGTCAGTCCCTCTCTGGCAGCTTTTATAAGCCAGAAAGAGCAAGGGTCCAGCAGACAAGCGGTAACCTTCACCTCTCCATGGGTCCCGTCCACATCATCAGGCTGTAAAAACTGAAACCTATCTATCAAGACCAGACAAGCAGGGGCCATAATGACATCTACAGGACTTGTATTAATGTCAGCATCCAAGTTAGAGCAGATCTGAAGGACTTTGCATGTAAAATGTTGTGCAATTTTTTTGACAGACAGCTATAGCAAGATCCACGCTGCTCTATCTGCTTGGAGGGCTATATCATGCAAGAGAGTGCGCCGGGACCTTCCTACACCACACAGCATACAGTACTGCTGTAGCTAGCACCAAATGTAGTAGTTGAAACAACAGTGCTGTGCGCCCCCCATGTCAGAGGACATGAGATCTGCATATCAGGAAACGTCACTGCAGAATGACTGAGGACCCTGGGTAGAATAGGAAAGCTTGCCCGCTTGAACCAACCCAAGTAGCTGGGCTGTTGGCTTCTAGCAATCTGGGCAGAACACAAAATTCAAACTGGCCCCATTCTGTACAAATACCATCAAAATGACCACGTTCTTTGAAAATGCACGTTACCTGATTCATTCAGAAACTGAACAGCATGAGGGAGCTCATTTTCTTCCAACTGCAACTTGTTTTCCTGAACCAATCTGAAGAGTCGCTTCTGGTCAATCACAGGAAATTCAACTGGAAGTTTTGTGCGTTCCTCTAAAATCCTCTTCTCGAGTTCCAAATAGCTGTCTGGAATCAACTGCCCAACAACAGGTTGGTCTCTGATCTGTAGAACATATATCATCATCATCATCATCATCACCATCACCATCATCACCATCATCATCACCACCACCACCACCACCTTAGAACTGCAACACTGGATGGACCCTACAAATCATTGCCCCTATCAAGGAGGCACAGCGGGGAATTGAACTCCCAGCCTCTGACTCTGCAGCCAGAGACCTAAAACAACTGAGCTATCCAACAGGTACAAACACACACTTTCAGGAACTTTTATAAATATCTTAGTGACTGATTCCTTCACTAGGGGTCCTGCAAAAAATCGCCCACTTTGCCTAAAACTTGGGGCATACTTTAGTTCAGATAAAGGCCGGTTCCAAACCACACCCAACATTTTAAGTCACAAAATAATTTATTATTAATAAATTCATTATATTTTATTGATTTGCTAGAGAAACAATGTGATGTGATCTCTAAAACTGTAATAGCTAGAAGCACAAAAATTTGTACATATACTATTGAGGTCACAACATAAATAACTGAGTGGTTTAGATTTTGACTGGCTATGCTGACTGGGTGATTCTGGACCTGCAGTCCAAAGAAGCTACATGGGGGATTCAACACGTTGTGTCCTTCTTAATGAAACAGGAATAGGCAGAATAGCAAACATATGCACCAGTACTAGTGATTTTTCCAACATAAATGACTAGATACTGGACTAGCCAAGCTGGCTAGGGAAATCTGGGAACTGCAGTCTGCTGCAGAATCTAGAGAATTACAATCTTGTTTCAAGGCTCTACGGCAAGAATTTTAAGGTAAGTGTGCTTCTGTAGATTGAGAGCTACAAATTCACCCCTACAAACACTGATACAAATATACAAGCCTTAGAGAAGGAAGCACTAATAAGTTAATCTGTCAAAAATAATCCTGCAAAGTTATGCATGCATAATAATAGAAGGGAACATATGTGTATGTGTACTTTTCTGTCATACCTCCAAGGCTGTGAAACCTAAGACAACTGAGACTTATAATGGATGTTAAAGAGACCTGGATGCATACTTCTCGGGACTATTTCATTTTTAAATGAATCAGTTGTTTAGTTAATTAAAAGCTGTTTGAGCCTGCAGTACCATCTTAAACACTTTCCAATGGGAGACAAAGCTGGAAAAGCTGACGCAGGCCTGGAAAAACATTTCTTCACAGGGCCTCCTGTCAGCTCTTCTCCATGAATGCTTCAAGCAGATCAAAGAGAGAAGTGGAAGGACAGAAAAACTAGCAAAGCAAAGAAACAAACTAAGAAAAAATGGGGAGAGAGAAAAGAAGGGGCAGGAGGAGGGGAAAAACCAGAGAGTTTTGAAGAAACCAGCTTTGGAACCCACAAGGAGCTGTTACCTCTGCATATATTTTACATTTGTAAAGTCTTTATTCATTTTATGTTTTACCTGGATTTGTTTTATTTAATTGTACTTTGCCTGAGCACTTGGTTTTGGAAGAAAGGTAGAAAATAAATGAAATAAATACATGGGGTGCACACATATATACACACTTGGATATGTGTATCGTGGCTGAAATCCTGTTGTGCAGTTATGCAAATTGCATTAACTTTTACAAGCAATTTGCAAGAAGTTAAGAAATCTCCATAGGCATCATCTGTTGCATGCAGAGTCACACCACTGAGTGTGCAACAGACAATGCCTATGGAGATTTCTTAATTTATTGCAAACCGTCTCTAAAAGTTAATGCTGTTTGGTTAACTGCACAACAGGATTTCTGCCATTAAGTAACATTGCTTACTTTGAAATTCAGACTCTCCTTTATGATGGTTTTCCGAAGCTTGGCCATCGCATCAGATTCTTCTGTAGCATTCACAAAGTGATAATCTCGAATAGCTGGAAATCCCCTTTGGTTCATCAGTTCCTTGGTAATTTTAGTGACACATGCTTTACGCTGCTTCTCGTCAGAAATGTCCAAATGAGTACCAATGAGAATCACAGGTGAGGATGAAGCCCGGGCCTGCAAAGCATGAGTGACGACACTGCTCAGTTAGGACTATGATCCTGTACCCATCACATTTAGTTTGGGCGGTTCTGCCGACTTAATCAGCACCCTCCCATTCATTTTAGACCTAATTTTCTGAAGCTCCAGATTCAGAACCTCTGTGCAACACCAGAACCCCCAAGATCTATTTATTTATAAACATGTTACCTTGATATTAAACAGCCATGGCTTCATAGCATCCACTTCAGCCTCTCCTTTGCTAAGGTCATAAACAGCAAGGTACAGAGCTCTCTGGGTCATGAAGTGAGGATGCGCACTATAGAATTCCTCCTGACCTAAAACAACAAAGAGCATAATCCGGCCACTGTGCAGTCAGCTATGGATGGCTGCAGAGGGACATTGCATTCATCCTCGTTACAAGTTACTGAACTTTCCAAATTCTGAAATGGTGAGAGTTCCAGTTCAGCAAAACCTCTTGGGAGACTGAAATCCACCATGCTGCCCACATAGGTCAGAGGTCAAGAAGAAAAGTTTATATGCGTGCTCAGGTTGCAAGTCAGAGAAGAAGAGAACAAAACAAACAAAACAAGGAAAGCGAGCAAAGAGGGAGAGGGGGCCGAGGCTTGCATCAAGCCCGGAGAAAAAGGACTTTCCTAATAGGTTAGTGGCAAGGCATAATTATGTTAAGCTGTGAAGCCCCCTTCCCACGGAAACCAAGTGTCAGGTTACATGCAAGATTGTTATTTTCTCCAGCAAGAGAATTCACATGGGGAAGCCCCTTTCAAACCTCCAAAGGTAGAAGAGAAATGAAACTTGAATACATTCCCATGTAGGGAATGTACACAAATATTAGACAGTGCTTAAATAGGTCTCTGATGTGCATAGGTTTACCCTGTCTGGCCTCATGTCAGGATTTAAATATGATGAAATACCTGCAAAGTCCCAAACGTTTAATACGAGATCCTTCTTTACTCTGCCCTTGACTGGGATCTTCCAGTCATTCACATCAATTCCGATTGTAGCAATCTGAATCCCGAGGTCTGGCCGTCTGCATTTCATTAGCTGTTGCAACAGTGTAGTTTTACCACTGCCGGTGTTTCCAACAATCATGAGCTTCATCCGGTTATAAGGGACAGCTTTCTTTAAACGCTGCTGAAGAAATCTGGATGAAGAAAGACATGTACAGGTATCTAAGACAACCTTAGTTTATCTTCAAATGTAAAAGATGTCTCCAGATGAGGCTTTTCAAGGTACAGTACAAATAGAGCAGAGGAGGAGAGCAAAATTGTATAGCTGCAGAATGTCTTTTAATTAGTAAGTGTCTGGGCCTGCCCTTTCAAAACATCTATAGACATATAGAATATGGCAACATTAATTATTAATTTTTGAATTTTTATAATTTGCTTAGTGACTGTAATGTGAAATTTTAGAAACTCACTCCAGTAATTTAGGATATGACTAATACCTCTTCAGACTTGTGCTAGAGGAGGTATGGAAACCTAGGGATACATTTCTGTACATAGTAAGATTGTCCAGTTGTACTACATTTCTAGGTGAAGGTCCAACATGAGATTAAGGTAATCACCAATCAGTCAATGCAGTCAAATTCAGCATTAGCAGTATTAAAATTTTTGGGGGATAAGAATCATACTTTTCTGCGCAATGAACTGACATGATTTTTGTTCACTGTGATACAATAAGAGATAAGCTGAAAGCTAGCGGAATGGAACAGAACTCTCCGTTGAAAATTGGGTTAAACAAGACTGGGACAGAACTCTTTGAGAAACTGATTCGGGAACCTAAGCAGGCTAGAAGTCACAAAGACACAAACAGCTCTGATGTAGATGGGTTTCTTTCGATCAGATCAATATTTGAGAATGATAACCACACAGAAACATCATCCATCTACTGAAGCATCTGCAACAATCTGCTTGGTGCAAGCTCAAGGATTAGAAAACAGCGTCTCTGCTATGTATAACTCCCTTTGGCAGATGATTATGGAATGCAATATCTTAAGTGAAATTCTTTGGGCACATATCACCTGTCCTTCTGAAAGCAAAATCAACTTTCACATCCAGATCAAAGAAAACATCCGTTGTGTTCAGATGTTCCAGAAAGGGCTGGAGCAACGCAAGAGTGTGGACAGCATGTGTAGTACACTTTATTACGGTCAAAGACCAGTAAAGGACAGCATGTGCTAAACACACTGGAGTCAAAAATGGAGTACGCAAAGCAGAGAAGGATGTCAATAGGCAACACCTGCGGTAGCACCAACAAGATGGGCAGTCCTGTCTGTATCACGACTGGTTTGCGATTGTGACTTGTAATTGGATTTTAAAAAAAAATTATGCATGCTATGGGAGATTCGAAGTTTTTTAAAAATATATTGGAAATACGTTATGTTTATGTTTTTCATCAAGGCAAAAAAGAGTACAGCATTTGGATTTGACTATACATTACAAAATGAACATAAATAGGCTTATATGCTTGCACACCTATCAAAATGTAAAATATGACAACACAGCTATCCAATTCCTAAAAAGAAGAATGGGGGTGGGGGCTGGAATGGCTGGGGGCCTAAGTGGAGGTTCTGCACATGGCAATATTTCGGTGTAGCGCCCTATGTTAATAATCTGTCCATCATTTCTTCCTCCAATTTGAACTATTAAAAATATATTATTATTTTTAAAAGGATGGGTAAGCCTTTGGTATTTTATTTATTTCTTTATTTAAAAATGTCCTACTCTGACTTTCTTCCAAAAAGGATCTAAGACAGCTTGCAATAACTAAAAGATGTTATTTAGTTGAAAACAGTTCATATAAATATTTCAAAAGGACTAAGTAAACCTTATATTAAAAATGGTCAATAAAAACACATTTTGAAAACATCGGAGCACAAGAATCCATTCAAAAGACCTCTCAGGATGTCAATCAGTATGGAAAAGCCTGCGCTTAAGAGAAAGGTCTTTTGCCTGCGTGTGGAAGGACAGCAAAGATGGGGCCAGGCCAGCTTCTCATGGGAGGGAGTTCCAGAGTCTGGGAGCAGCAAGAGAGAAGATGCTCTCCTGCCTCACCACCAAGCATGCCTGTGAAGGTGGTGGGACCGAGAGAAAGGCCAAACTGATGATCTTAATCTCTAGATTTCCTGGTATTGATTTCTTCTTTTTAAAACCAGAGCAGTTTGATTGAACATCCGTTTCCTCCAGTACGTTGATCAGTGTAGCCCATGGTCAGGCATGATGGGAGTTGTTTCGCAAGATATGGAGGGCCACATCCTTCCATGTGAGGTTCACCATACAGCACCCATGCCTACACACTTACAGGAATGGTCAGAAAACAAACCTTATAATGTCCCTGGCTTTCCATCCCACGTGTTTGAAGTCCAAATTAAGATGTAACCCTTCCAAAGGCAAGTCCCATATTTTGGACAACTTTCCCATTTCATCAGGAAAGCATTTTAGTTCAGGATTGTGACTTACATCGAAAGATGTTAAGTTACCCAGGAACCCAATCTGAGGAGGAATCTAGAGGAAGTAAAAGCAATAATATTAGCCAAAATTTTACTTGCTTTATTGCTGCTTCATAGCTACTCAGGTTGTATGCAAAAACTGAAATTAAAACCACTCTTAAAAGATAATAGTCAACATATAAAATAGAAATACAAATAAGCAATCAGAAAAACAAAAATAAAACAATTATTCTCAAACAAGTATCAAATAGTAAGATTATCTTATACTGATTGTGAAGCAAGCAGTGAGTGCTCTTTTCCTTTAGCTGTTTAAACAAATTTGGCTGTCCTGTAGGATATATAATAGTCTGTACCAACTTAAAAAAAACTGTATGTACAGGGAAGTTGTTCCTGATCCCAGCTGTTAAGGGTTTAAGATACTGATCTCTAAAATCTGCATATAGAGAGCATACTGATAGAAAATGTACCATGTCCTCTATCTTAGAGCATCTTGCTGGACAATATTTACTTGCACCATTTACTTGGTCCAAAATCATATTATGCTATTCGGAAAATGGCTCTATGCAAGATCAAGACTATCAACTGAATTTAATTTAAATAACTAATAACTGAGGACAAACCACAAATATAATAAATTTCTTTTTTTTTCCTTATTACCGATAAGCAGACCACCCAACTGACAGATAGAATGAATCCGTAATTTAAATAATTAATAACTGAGGACAAACCACAAATGTAATATATTTCTTTTTTCTTATTATCGATAAACAGACCACCCAACTGACAGATAGAATGAATAAACATATATGCAATTTACAGAATTATTTCCTGAAGAATAGCACAAATTTTTCACAGTATTCCTACTCAAATGTAACAGAGCTACAATTTTGGTGGGGATGCAGGAAAGCCCCATTCCTCACTACACCCCAAAGTCTGGCAGATCCTTGGTTCACTTGAAAAGCCTACAGAGGCGTCTCTAAATATGTTCAGCTGGACACACAGCATTTCCATCAGTTGCTCTGATAAGAAAGGGCCTGCAGACCACAGAAAAACTGCAAGGACATTTAGCTGAAAGTGCTTAGAAATGCCTTTGCGGATATGTGCAGTGAACATACAAAGGTTATGTGGAGAATTTAAAGGTTGAAAGCTTTTTACATGTGTATCACCATCATCCAGAATTACAAACCTACATGCTTTCAAATGAACAGGTAAGCTCAGATAATCAACAAATGTATCAGTAACAGGCACACAGTTTGACTTAACTTGCAAAGTTTGAGCTTTTGAGCAAGAAACTATTAATCAAAGGTTACTCACAAACCACAAAATGTACCATCTAAAATGTATTGCCACTTAGATTAGAAAAGCCCAAACTGTGATTGGTAATGTAGAAGTCAAATGATGTCTGTGACTGACACGTTTAGACCAGAGCATAGAAAGTCTGTGATTTGGGGGGACTATGTCTTTGCCCAGATTGGGCATGAGGGCACTCTGCCATTTTGTGATCAAGGACTTAAATAAACAAGTTTGTTTGGGAGAACCGCTTTAAGGTTGATTGGTTATTGTTTGATTGTTTGGAATTAATACTTTTTTTCTGACAAATTCTGTGATCGATCTTAGCAGAACATTTTTCACCAGCTGCAATGGGGTAAAGTATGAATATTGTTCTCAACAACTATCACCAAAATGCCAGTCAAGTTCATACATCACCTCTTTTAATTTGTTGTTGGAGAGATGTAGCTTTTCAAGCCGAGACCACGTGAAAGCCTTTTCATTCAAATCTAGGACACTTATTTGATTATCGTTAAATAGCAGTTCTCTTAAATTAGAGGATTTCCAGTGTACAGGTCCAGGGAGACATGTAATTTTATTGCTGCTTAAATCTACTGACCGCAAACTACAGAAAGAAAAGAACAAAAAAGTTGCTAGGTACAGTTAACAAATGAAGCTATGACAATTTGAGCTTTTTTTAAAAAAAGACCAACAACAAAACACTTAAGAAAAAAATTAATATTGTATCACTAAGAACAGAAAGCCTGGGAAATTGGAATTCTGAAATATTTCTAAAGCTTTTTATAAAAGATACAAAACAAAGCAGAGAAAGAGAAAAAGAGTTGGATGCCACAAACAGTCTGAACAACAAAGTCTTGTGGCACCTTAAGTATTACCAAATTTTGTCATAAGGTGCCATAATTTTGGACTAACAGAACTAGTCCATGGAAGACTTCAAGAATAGCTTGCTGATAAAAAAGGGGGACAGGATGGATGTTTTGGTAATGATCAGTTCAAAGAAATAAGATATTTAAACCTAACAATCAGAGTAGATACCTATTTTACTAATTATACTGAGGGTTAAATTAGCTTATTTCCCTATGGGTACTTATCCATCTCTGTTTCTGTACTTATGAAAATGTCTAATATTTGTTAGGGACTTGATCCGCTGGGTGAGACAGGACTGCTTTAGTCTTGCATATAGGGAAAGAAAATAGGAAAAAAACATACAAAAATCATAGAAGTCTATGAAATGAACTTCAAAGGACAGCTATTACAGCTGCTAAAGACTGAGAATGTACAAGAAGGCACTGTTATTATTGCGACTGAAGACTCAAGCAGTGAGGAAAAAGAAAATGCCAGCTTTGAAGCAATGTATAGGCAACACATCAAAGCCTGGTAATAAGATTTCCAAAGCCTACATGGCTAATTTATGGGTGACTATGGGTCAAAGTTTGACTGGGCAAATTCCTTGGAGAAGTTTTTTCCTTAAAGAACATGAAAGATGAAAGTTTCCAGCCAAGAAGAAAGGGGAGGGAGGCCCTACAGCAGCATGGAATGGAATGGATGGAGTACTGCAGGCCCTTCCTTCACTTCCCCTCAGCCCTGTTTCCCACTTTTTACTCTCAACAGTCAGTCGGTATTTCATACCCTCTAAGCATGCACAGTTCTAACTAGCAGTCCTGAAGGGCTCCCCTCTTAGGTATTTTTCCCCATGAAGATGTTTTTAATCATTGATTTTTCTACAGGCATCCTTGTCACCTAGGATAATTTTCACTGTCCTGAAAAAGAATTAGGCAGACATGCACTGTTAACATACACAGTCTGGAGTTTAATAAAAGAATAGCTTTTGTGGCTTCTGTCCAGGTGGGAGGTATACCTAATGAATGAATGAATGAATGAATGAATGAATGAATGAATGAATGGACAGACGGATAGACAGAAACTGAAACAAATATTTTATTAGAAGCAAGGTGTTTATCTTTAAATTTCAAAAGCAGCAACAGTCTGTTTCCACAAAATGAATGCAATAGTCACAGTTGATGTAGTGCCTTCATTATGTATAATAATGTATTTATTTATTTACATTGCACTCCACAATATTAGAGTACATTCTAATAAATCAATAACGTACAAACATGCATCGCAACATTTAACAACAACCTTAACATCTCTGTGTGTAAGCTAACAAATCAGTTTAAAAGTTCAAATAAAATACACTGGTCGTTAACCTGTCCCTACACCCAAAACTTATGGCTTCAAGTTAAACAGATAGGTTTTCAAACCTCATCTAAAATTGGCCAACTCTGGTTCCGTATGAAGATCCTGAGAGAGAGAATTCCACAGCTTTGATGCCAAGTGGGAAAATGCCCAAAGCCTGGGTTGCCACCTTAGCCCAAGGGACAAAAAATGTCCAAAATTTGCGGACTGAGTTCTCTTAAGAGGAAAATGCTCTGCCACCAGCTCTGCTAAATAATTGCTGTTGTTGTTGTTATGTGCTGCCGTTGCCTTGACTTATGGCAACCCTATGACTGAATGATCTCCAAAATGCCCTGTCCTCAAGAGCCCTGCTCAGCTAAATAATTAGGGCAAGAATATCCTAAGGCTTTCGAAGAGACAACACAGCAACATATAATGAAGATAAAAGAAGAATGTGTTTAGAAGTAGTTTGTTTCTTCTGTTTACAGTTCTTTCAGGAAAGGAGTAATTCTCGAATCACTTACTGTGGAAGAAGAAGAATTGCTTTTGGAACAGTAGAAAAGTTATTCTGTGATAATTTTAATGTAGTTACATTAGATGGCAAGTGAGGCAAGGCATCTAAAAACAAACAGAAAAGTTATTGTACTCATCTGCAAGATGACTAAAGAACACAGGCAAGGCAATAATTCAGAAAGAGGAAGCCATGTTATTCTGATTCAGAATGTGCAACAACATCATCCAAAGTTTTTCTGCCATCTTTAATTATTTTCATTCATCCATTTTTCATTTCTGTGTCATTTTTCATTTTAGTTTTAAGCTAAAAACTGCTTTAAAATGCATTGAAACACATTGGCCAAAATCTTGTTGCTTAATCAGATTTCCTACACTATCTTTAAGGCTAACAGATTTATTTCAGTGTTGATGTTCATGCATTACAACCTCCTGGATTGTACTCCATGAAAGCTCATTGTGCCAAATTGCTCCAATTCTGATTTCTCTCATCCCTCATAAGGACAATGTATGGAGGCAATTAATATGTACCACTTGAATGGCACTTAGGCAAAGCGAGACCTAGCTAAGCCTCAAAGCCTTACTATTTAGGCTTTTCTCACAGTCAGGTTTCCACATTCTAGCCATAGCGATTATTCAAGCTTACCAATTTCCAAGGTTCTTTTATATTCAGTTAATAATATTTTCCTCTCCCTTCTCTTCCCAAAATAAGCCAAGGTGTGATCTGTGTCATTAAAATAACCCTAGAAGCTGAGTCATCATTCAGCAAATGATTCAACAGATCTACTCTAGTTGGGACTAGTAACTGAATTTAGTTCAAATGCAAAAAAGTGAAAACTACTATTAAAACAATTAACACTGACATTATAAGCCCAGCATAGCACAGATGAAAAATCTATTATGCCATAATTATTAATTTTTTCCCCTCACACATATTTTTGACCCACTTGTTTGTAGTCTCTGGAATTAGCACTGTTTCAACTAGGGAATACTCACCTAGTTGATTCATTCCAGCATTGAATGTCTCCAGTTTCAAGCATTCCTTGAGAAAATTTTCAGCCAGGAATGATATAACGTTCTTACTGATGTTTAAAACTTTCAGTTCTTTCAAGCATATAGTAAAGAATATGCCCGTGAGTTTGTTGCTAGGAGAAAAGAAAACGAGTAGAATAAACATATGCTTATAAAATGTAAATGTGCAGCACATGTTTTAGTGGATAAATGCTGTTGTGCTCACTTCTCTCAAACCTGCCATCTAATGACACACTTAGTGGCAATAGATGAATTTTCCACCTACCCTAATTTTTCTTATAGGGTAACTATAATAAAAATGTAGACTGATAACTATATTGGCCACTCATCCTGCAATCTGCAATGGAAAAGCCACAAATGAACTGGAATTAAAAACCAGTGATTATATGGTGTAAACCTCAATATGGGAAAGTTTATTGTACGTAAAATTGTCTTGATCCAGTTGACATCTGTTTTGCCTACTTTCTGCCCAGTGAGTTCCCCCGATCTGAAACCAAAGGGGCACTCACAGGGGTGTCCCCACAACCAAGTGCTCGTAGTCTGCAAGCAGTGTTTGTTTGTTTGTTTTTAAAGCTCTCAAAGGAGTGCTGGCTCACTAGGTCACTAGTCACCTCAGAAAAAGTAAGTAAGAAAACAGAGGTAGAAACCGCCAACAAGTACTCTGTCAAAGACAGCTTCTGCTGTACAAACACAGCTTTCTGCCTCTGTTGATTCCTACAAATCATTCGATTCTGGATGGCTACAGTGGTATTACCCATGGAAACCTGATTTGGAAAAAAAAGGCAGATCACAGCAGATCCAAGCAAATTTTCCCCGGTGTGTAGTCACATCCTTAGACAGGTGCACAGAAGCTAAGTGTGAATACTAAGAAAAAAAAATCAAGGCTCAAATGTATAGTATAAAGACAGCAGTTACAGTTAACTGAGGCAGTGACAAATAAGAGGATTGAATTCCTCTTGAATCAATCACCAAAACAATAATAAAAAATAATAATCATGTGCTGTCAAGTCTTTGTAACTGTTCAAAGGGCACTCATGTAAGAAACAGATGCTATTGATGAGTTTAGCAAACATTCGATTACAGTATCAGTATTTCTTGTAATGAACTTTGAAGTACAATGAACAGAAAAATCTTAGGCTATAACTGCACAGTCAAATACTGTGGGATATGCTGCAGGTGTAAAATGGACAAATTTCCCTTTAAAAAACCCTAGTCACACAATACAAAAGACTGCCTTGAGTCCTTTTTAAGGAAAAAAGTGGGATAAGTAAGTAAAGTAAGTAAGTAAATAAATATTTTAATCAGTCCAAGCCTTTTCTTAGGCTATAGGTACACAGTCAAATACTGTGGGATATGCTGCAGGTGTAAAATGGACAAATTTCCCTTTGAAAAACCCTAGTCACACAATACAAAAGATTGCCTTGAGTCCTTTTTAAGGAGAAAAGTGGGATAAGTAAGTAAAGTAAGTAAGTAAATATTTTAATCAGTCCAAGCCTTTTAAGTTCCTAATGTGGAGTTTTTTTTTCCTCTGCCATTGGCTTTTCCCTCCGTGATCAGTTATTTTGCTCTCCAAAACTACAAGAACGTGTGTGACTGTGGGTGGTATTCTGGGGATATACTAAACTGAGCATGATGTTTTGGACAGCAAGAGCACAATGTATAATTGCTGTCAGCTATAACTGCTGTATTTATACTACACTTTTGAGTGATCTTTCTCCCTGATCGCTATTGAGTTTAGCACTACATCACCTTATCGCTATGATAGACTAGTCTGATGTTAGATCACCTCTAAATGGTCAAAGACAAGATAAAAAAATGATACAAAATAGAAACAAACTACAGCAGACTATGTTTCCATCGTATGCATGTACCGTATTTGCGGCCTACAAGGTGACTGACCGTATAAGACGACCCTCCCAACAGGAAGAGCCTGGGCGGGCGGAGGCAGGAGGAGGAGGGGAAACGGGGGGGGGCGGGCGAGCGAGCTGGTTCAGCAGCAGGAGGGCGAAGAAGAGGGCAAGAGGCTGAGGGGGGGCGGCAGGAGGAGGAGGAGGAAAAGGGAAATGGGCGGGTGGCGGGCGAGCAAGCCCAAATGAAGTGCACCCGGCGTCCAAGACGACCCCCCCCACTTAGAGGCATGTTTTTTGGCCCAAAAAGTTGTCTTGTACGCCGGCAAATACGGTGTGTGTTTGTGCATTATGGAGAACATTGGAAAACTATCACTTTTCCCTAGAACCATGCAGTATTTTAAACAGCCTGCCTGCTTTATAATGAATGATAAAAACAGAGCTGGAGATAGGTAGAGGGTGAGATCAATGGAAGTGGGCGCTAACGGCTGTGCTGCCAATCAAACCGCATCAGACTGAGGGGTCAGTGTGCACACAGACCACAAAATATTCCACCATCTAATCCCAACAGAAGCATAAATCAAGCTGTGAATCAAGCTGCAGCAAAGCCAACTTGCTACAATTTGACTTGCCAGTGTAGCCGCCACCTTAGTCAAATGACAGATTTCATCAGAATTTACATAAGTGCCTTTATTGGACTACAAAGAACTGTAGTGAAAAAAAGACAATTTTTCAAGTTTTGATTCTGAGCTAGTGCATGTGCACTGCTTTGGACAGTAGAATATTCCTGCCCTATGTGTTATGCTAGGTTTAATTAATAAATTCCTTTCTTCCCCAAACAGCCATCATGGTAGCTAAAAAGCCACAGATTAAAAATACACAGTCAAAGCACAACTGTGATGATAAATGCCCACAGCCTAGCCCCAGGTAAATGTCCCTTTATTTATTTAGTAATTAGAATTCCACTCTTAAGTCTCAGGAAGGTCTGCAGACAAGAGAATAGCATTAAACCATTTGAAACCAGTTCTAAATATTTTTAAAATGTACCTTTAAAAGATAAAAGCATACAGAGAAATCCACATTCAAACTGGTCAGAACCGAGCTACGGCCACTGGGCCACAAAAAGTAGGCGAAGAGTCAAGTTTTCATTTGGTTCCGGAATGAGGCCAGGTTGGGCATTGATCAGGCTTTCATGGCAAAGGCATTCCACAACTGGTGTGCCACCACCTGAGAAACCCCTCTCCCGTGTCTCCATGTAGTGTATTGCGCTCGACGGTGAGACAGAGGCCTCCTCAGCAGATCTGAGTCCTCAGGCAGATAGGGAGAACCGGTCTCTCCAATAATCTCAGACTCCCAGAGTGTTTAGAACATTAAACAGTATTACAAGCATTCTGAACATGGACTGGAAGTCCCTTTAAATTGTTCCACACCACACTAATTCTATTAGTTGATACAACCAGTGCAATGCAATTGGTATAAGTCTCACTGGCAAATTGCTACAACTTGCAGTGATCTGCCAATGAAGTTTACATCAGTTGCATTATGCTGGGGTAAAAACTCAGTGGGATTTTGATCGTGGTTTCTTTCATGTGTGTACCTCCAGCAATCTAGCCATCGTATATTCCTCAGATCCGAGAAAAATATATCACACCACTCTTAAAAGATATGCCAAGCCAATTGGATTCAGACCACTGTAATCGATTGCTAACAGACCAGGATCGGACTATCACAGAGCTGGTGGCGAAGTTTTGGGCGGCATGTTACAGCAGTCAGACTGGATAGTTCAGCCCTTGGACCTTGGCCATACATAGCTATATTTGCTGCTTTAGACATTCTTAGCTGTTTCTAGATATTTTACCTTTTGTATGACTATATATGCCACTCTCCTCAACGGTTTACCTTTTATCTTTTAGCAGTTTTACCTTTTATCCTTTTAGCTTTTTATCATTTTTTATTCTTTAGTTTTACCTCTTGTATGACTTTGTAGTACATGCTTGTCTATGAAGTTATGTATTCAATTTTGTATGGCTCGATGCCGTAATAATAAAATGTATGTATGTACAGGGCACATTTTTAACATATTTATTTATTTGATTTTTACCCCGCCTCTCTAGACCATGTCTACTCGGGGCGGCTGCGAGCAATTCTTTAAAAAGATCCATCTCAAGCAGTGACTGTTCTCACCCTTCTAATATAAGGAGGGCACATTTTTAACATCTAGCTGCCTTGCCCTAGAGTCCCAAAGCTGCGAGCAATTCTTTAAAAAGATCCATCTCAAGCAGTGACTGTTCTCACCCTTCTAATATAAGGTGCTCCAATTTTTCTGCAACATTGGCAAGAAATTCAGGAACGGAGGTCAACTGGTTGTATGACAAATTCAATAGCCTTAACGTTGTGCAGACCATCTTTGAATCCAAAATTAAGGATGGCCCAATGTCATTCCGTGAAATATCAAGGTGAGCTATACGAGGCATTTTCAATAGGTATGCAGGAAAAGATTTAAAATGATTACTGTGCAGATCCAGGTATGTTAAGCATTTCAAGGTCTGAAAAGAGAAACAGAATGTGTCTGATTTTTAAAATAAGCATCTTAATTATACTAGGCTAAATTATGTTAATTAAATCATGTAAACAGAGAGATCATAAAATACAAATATACACCAGATACTGGCTAAGATCCTGTTGGCATAGCTACACCTGTGGAAGAGTGCTGCTGATGTTACCAGTAGGGGGAAATATTTGATAGTGAAAGACTTTCCCCTTTTCCTCCCCGTGATTTGTCCATCTTATCAATGATCAGTTTTCATTGTGTGGAAGCCATGGGGCAGAGGGAAGAAATCATTCACTACAAATAAGGTAATTCAACAGCAGTGAGTTTTGGTAATGAAAGATGGTCTTCTGTTCTACAGTTTATACAAATTCCACACAATGAAACACCTTGTTCTTAAGCTGGACAAACTGTGGGGGAGGAGGGAAGTCTCGTTACTGAAAATCTCCTTCTGCTGCTGACATCATCTTTCCAAACCCATAGTTATGACAACAGAATTTTAGCCACTAAGCCTACATTTCTGCAGTGGGAATGGAATACCTTTCTAGGGCTCAAACTACTATAAAAGTTTCAAAGACATACCCACACTAGTATGTTTCAGCACATACAAAGAAAGATAACTAATAGATTTATTTCATGCATCATAATCCACTTTTTCACATACATGGGCCAAATCCAATGGCACAGTTCTGCTGGATCCCATTTCTTCTTCCAGAAGCAGTGATTCTAGCTCACCTCTGCCTATGCACCCTATAAATCTGCTCTGCAGGACTCAGAACCCTCACTGGACCCAGTTTTCCAGCAACACAAAGGACTACAGCAGGAGAAAGTCATCTTCTGAATGTGAATTAAACATGCCCTGTACAAAAGAATGTTACTTTTTTTACTGACTGTGTGTAGGGGATTATTTTTAATAGACACTCTTCGGTGCTCAGTATCAGTTTGTTTTCTGGGAGTGGCTGTGTGAAAAACTTTCACCTTTCATGTCCTCATAGTTTAAAGAATATTTAAATCTATTTTACTTTGAAAGGTTTGAAGCCAACTCCTCATCAAAGTACTAAACTGTAACATTTCTCTTTATATCAATGCACAATATACAATTAAGCAGAGAATTTACTATACCATGTAAACATATGAGATCCAGCAATAAATAATCTCTGAGATATGCTAGAAACAGTGCAATTTTTCCTATTTAAAAAAGGAGGCAGAAACATTGTATTAATCTTCTGTATTAATCTTTTGTGTCCATTTTGTGTCTTCAAGGCATGGAATAAAAAATGAATCATTTACCAACCTATTAGGTACATATGCAAAAAAAGAGAGTAATTTACAAAAATTCTTTTACGCACGAGATGCACAATAGGTAAATATTAGGGAAGGGTAAGTCTTTAATTAGTGAAAAATCACAGCTAGTGGATTTTCCAGCAGTGGCAATTTTTGGAAATTAAAAACTTCCCTCCCCAATGAGTGGCTCCTCAATGGTTTCTCCAACATCAAAAGAAGTCCCACAGGAATCTTGCAACTTTTGGGGGAGAAATCGGAAATGTTTTGATTTTGAAAAACTACCGCAGCTGATGATGTCCTCAGTCTTACATGGCATGTTTACACAACTGGATTTCAACCAATTACCTGATTCTTTGAAAAAGCGCTTCCAAGTGAGTTTCCACAGTATGTCTAGATCATATTTTCCTAGTTGTCCTCACAATATGAAGACAGATTAAACTAGAAAAAATGTGACTGGTCTAAGATCACCTAACAAGTATCATGGTTGTGTGGATTTGCTTTTCCTTGGATCAAACTTGAAAAACTAGCTACATAAAACCACCCTTCCTTTTTATGATCATTAGCTATAAATACATCTACAAAAAAGCACTTCCCTTTCATGATCTCTTTCTCATTCTTGGCTCTATAAAAGGAGATGCCAAAACCAGCATTTTCTGGCATTATGTGGACTCTCACCTCACACAGCTGTTCAGGAATGTTTGAAAGGGCATTTTGATGAAGCTCTAATTTCTCAAGATGTTCCAGGTGAGTAGTTAAGCTAGTGCTTTGACTGATGGCTTCTATATTCTCCAGCTCATTTGATGAAAGGTCGAGTGATTTAATATATTCTCTGTCAGACACTGATGAAGAGAAACTGTCCGAGCGGTTTATATTTGACTGGAATTTAGACAGGCTTCCTGTTATAAAATAAATAGAACAAAGAGCATTCAAGCTTTATTCTGTGCTGTAAGAATTTTATTTATTGCCAAACATCAAGGATTCTTGATTAATTTGTCAAATAATCTTGAATTTGAAACACTGCTTTAAAAGCCATAAGGATCTACCATAGGCTTAAATATTTCTGATCTGAAGTAAAGGGAAGGAAAGCATTTCTATATAAACCTGCATTTGCAAAAATAAACTACTGCAGTTTGATATTTTGTCTGCCATTTTTTGGGGCGGTGAAACGCCGAACCCATATTGGGTAGATTCCTCTTCTGTGCTGCTTGGAAAAATACCCTTTCACAAATCGAATGCGGGTGCAACAACAATATCAATAATAATCCTCTTATTGGACAAAAATTAACCTACCTTCCATTCCAGGTTGGGGAAGGGAGGACAAGTGTATATGATGGGGCACATCCTTTATGAGTAAACAGACCCAGGTTCAAACCCTGCATCTACATTAAAGATCTAATTCAGTAACATTCAAAATGTGTCCACTAAGGGCCCTAAAAATAGATAATACTGGGCTAAATGGACCAAAACTGACTTCACAGTTCCATGTGTCCACATCTGCAATATGTTTTACGGTTGTAAACAGCACAGGATTCATTATAATTGTGATGATCTATAGCAATGGGCAAAACCCACAATCTGTTCTCAAGGTCTATCAAATGTATATATTTAGCATCAGACAAGAATTTGTTCAAGACCAAGGATTCTGCTTTTATTTTATAATGGCCAGTGGAAGAAAATCAGATGTCTTTTGGGAATGAATTCTGTAGACTACCCTATATTGAGATAAAGTGGATATCCATTTCATTGTTTATGTTATAACAAGTAAGTAAGAAAGAAAAGACAAGAAATTGGGGCCTTCTCGGCGGTGGCTCCTCGCCTAACTTTGTCTAGTTGCTAAAATCCGTATGTTAAATGTTCTTCACAAAACAGAACTAAATTCAGAATTACATATACCACTCCTGAGTTTCAGCTTTAAAATATTTTGTAAACTTTCACTTACTTTGAGATTCTTCTGAAGACATTCTTCTCTGACTCCTTAATGGTTCATAATGTGATCCAGGTCCCTGGACAATGCCAAAAGACAAGTATTACAGCAATGACTATTTGAATACATACAACAATAGCATATGATGAAAATAATATATTTTCATTTTAATGTCAGAACAAAACAGACGAAGCATCCTTGCCTATTAGACATACACTTACTGTAGCTAAACTGGATGTATATAGCAGGGACATAAATATTTCTTGTTTTATTTTCATTATTAAGAACAAAATAAGATCTCCCTCCTGGATGATATTACAAGAGTTTTTGTCCATTGTTCACATATTGGCACTAGAGATGGGGAACAAACCACAAAGCACAAATCTCGATTCGATTCATCGGGGCTTTCATTAGACAATCAGAGGTTGACCCTTCCACCCCCACAGCCTGCATTACAGCAAATTTGAATACGTATAACAATAGCATATGATGAAAATTATATATTTCCATTTTAATGTCAGAACAAAACAGAGGAAGCATCCTTGCCTAATAGACATACACTTAGCTAAACTGGATGTATATAGTAGGGACATAAATATTTCTTGTTTTATTTTCATTATTAAGAACAAAATAAGATCTCCCTCCTGGATGATATTACAAGAGTTTTTGTCCATTGTTCACATATTGGCACTAGAGATGGGGAACAAACCACAAAGCACAAATCTCGATTCGATTCATCGGGGCTTTCATTAGACAATCAGAGGTTGACCCTTCCACCCCCACAGCCTGCTCTCCTGCCCCCTTCCCACTACCCCTGTCACCTCCCTACCTTGGCTGCCATAGTCTGTGCTGCCGCCGCTATCCACAGCAGCCTCCACAGTCACCATCCACCACCACTCACTGCAATGGTCTCTGCCGCTATGGCCTACCTTAAGGAAATACAGGCTGCCCTTTGCAAAGATGGCAGCTGCAGTTTCCCTGCCTAAGAGAAGCTACAGCTGCCATATGTGCAAAGGGCAGCCTGGGTTCCCTTAAGGCAGGTTAAGGGAATCCAGGCTGCCCTTTGCAAATATAGTGGCTATAACTTCCCTGCCCTAAATGAAGCCGCAGCTGCCATCTTCGCAAAGCGCAGCCAGTGTCCTTTATGGCAGGCCGTGGCTGCAGAGGCCACTACAGCGGGCAGTGATGGATGGCGGTGGCAGTGGGCAGCAATGGATGACGGCGGTGCTGGGCAGTGGCAGAAGCAGCTAAGGGTGAGAGGGAGAGGGAAAGGGGGAGGGGGATAGGTTGTGGGGGTGGCTGGCTGAGAGGCTGGCTGGCTGCTTATGAGTCTGCTGATTAGTTGATTGGCAGACCCACAGGCAAAATGGGAAGGCCATAGGAAGAGAGGGAAGGCTAGCATCGTATGGGGGGGGGGCAAATAAAAATAGACAAATATTCATCCCTTTTTATTTGTCGGGGTGTCTGGAACTCACAAATATGAAGGGACAAATATTTAATGAATCAGCGATTTTAACAAATATCGAGATTCATTTTTTTATTTGTCCCTATGTCTAATTGGCACACTTTTTGTGCAAAAAATGGGATTTAAAAAAACTGCTTATTCATCCCTATGTCTAATTGGCACACTTTTTGTGCAAAAAATGGGATTTAAAAAAAAACTGCAGAAAAACCTCCATTTTGCATGAAATACACACTTTTTCCACACAAAATATAGGGTTTTGGTGCAAAAAAAAAACATGTTCTTGCTGACAAGAAAAGTGCTAGTCTTTTTGCTTTGGTGAAGAAGTGCAAAATTTCACAGCAGTTGCCCATTTTTTTGATATAGGAAGACATCCTTTTTAAAATGAGGATGGGAAAAATTTGTCAGTGTTCAGTGTTCACTACATCTTTAGTGCAGCCTCTGCTCTTATATTCACCGCAAACATTCTGCCTGATGTGCATCCATAGACCCTTACACAAGGCACACAGCCAGGTGCTTCAATGTGTGGGTTTCTTATACCTGTGACAGTGCATGACACTAAACTATGGAATATGCTAATTGTATGCTTTCACTATCTCTTTATGCTGCATTCATTATGTAGTAGTAGTGGGAGAGAGAAAGGTCTAAAAGAAGTCAACTGGTTGCTCTCTTTACCACACAGATATACTGTACCTTTAATGCAATCTTCACCCATTTCAAACCACCTGTCTTACCAGAGAGCTGGAATGCCTTGGCAGGGTGGGGGAATATTTCTGCAAGGCCATCTCCTTGTGGAGATCTGCCACCGAGTTGGATTTCTTCTTCCCAAGGCATGAGCCTTCACTCCCTGTGGCAAAAAGATGATTAAATACGACTTCAGGAATGCCTCTGAAATTTCAAAGGAATCACACTCCTGGCAACAAATAGGAGTCTGTGTGCCAGAAAACCTGCCACCACAAACGTAGAAGTAATGGATGTTTAACACTTGTAAATATGGAACATATGCACAAATACATGTGGTATATGTATATGTAACACAGTACATACTATGTATCATGTGCCTTATAATACACTGGGCAAAATCCTATTGTGTAAATTTACAGCAGCACAAGCTGATCATGTCATCAGATGCTGCTGGTAAAATTATTTTAAAGTGGGGGAAAAAAGCTTCCTTTCTCCTCATTTTAGGTTTTGAGGCTCCCTAAGGCTCCCTTTTGTCCCAGGGAAACCTTTGGGAGCCACAGGAGATGGGGGAGGGAGCCTTTAAATGCCTAAAATCGTGCCAGATTGTCTCTGGAGTGATCAAGATTCCTAGCATAACCTAATCATGATTTTTAATTATTAAGGTTTTCCCCATCATGAGGCTCTCAAAGGCTTTCCCAGGACAAAAGGGAGCCCTACAGAGTCCTGGAATCTAAAATGGGCGGTGGGCGGGGGGAGAGAGGGGAAACTTTTTGGTAATTTAAACTAAATTTTACCAATACCAGCTGCTGATGTCATCAGCTTCTGCCAGAGCAAATTCATGCCAAAAAGATTTTGGCCAATGTATAAAATACAGTATGTAGTGCATATCATACATAGTACATTATATATGCAGTGTTGGGTTGGAGCACCGGGTTGCAGAGCTAGAGGCCTGGAATTCGAATCCCTTCTGTGCCTTCCAGTGGGACGGCTATACAACATCACCCCAAATGTGTGTGGCTGGTGGAATTATGTGCCGCCTTAGGCACGATCCATGGTGCCAGATTGCCACTAGGAGGGACTGGTAGACCACTTGTGAGTATACTTAGAAAGGGTTGTCAGAGTCAACTTGAGGGCACATAATGATTATTATTAACGTAGTACGCCTTCTCCTGATTATTGCTTCCCTTTTGCCTCCTCTTTGATTATATATCCCTGACTTCAGGGTGAATTTTACACAAGCTTTTCATGTCAAGCTTTATTTATTTATTTATTTATTTATTTATTTATTTATTTATTTATTTATTTATTTTATTTTATTTTATTTATATCTGGTTGGTTAAGACCACTCTTTAGCCCAAGTATGGGAAGCTGCTAAGGAGCTTAGGGCCGCATCTACCCCATTCTAACTTGCGCCAGCCCACAGTGGCCATATCTATCACTTTCTGGGGAAAAAAAACAGACATAACCACAAGGCCTCATCTGATTTTAACTAAAAGCTATTTCAGGCCCCTGACCCAAAAGCTCTGAAACAGCCTTTATAGGGCCAATCTCATCCAGGAAGCACAGCCAGCTCTTCTTCTTCTTCTTCTTTTTTGGATAAAAACATTATTTTGGTGTAGAATGCCTTGGTGGGCCTGATGTAGACCATGGCATGCACTCTGCTTATTCTCACTTTAGCCAGAGTATGACTTTCATGCCTAATAATCTTATAAACTGCTGATGACAGACTGACCCTCCGT